TCAAAGTTGTTTTAGTAATTATTTCATAACCAAATGGCAAATACACATGCTTGCTCTTTCAACTATCAATACCAAATGGCAAATACACATGCTTGCTCTTTCAATCAATACGTGTTTAGTTGTATCCATCCATCCACTTCCTAAATTAATAAATGGTACTACATATGTATCATTACTGCACACGCGTATTATCTTGCCACAATTCCGGACGAAAATTAATACTATTTATTTTCCCATACACCCTACATAACAACAAGTTCTAAAAATTCAATACTCCCTCCGTTCTACTATGATGAATATTTTCCAAACAAAAAATATTCCACAAAGATAAAAGTTTTAGTGTTTTTAAGGCATTTTCTCATTTAATGTTAGGAGATTGTCAATTTCAAAAAAATTATTGAAACACTATTGGTTAAATTCTTTTTAAAAACTGTTTATTGTGAAAATTAATACAAGATTAATTACTTTTCTTAATATATGTGAAAAACATAGAAAATTCATATTTGTGGAACGAAGGGAGTATATCGTAATATATACATTTGCTCTATAAACCTCACGAAAGCTAAGCTATATATTGCAATGTACAACAATAAATTCCTCTATAACCTTTTGCTTTGTATCTACTTGCAATATTCTTTTTGTCTTTGTCTACTTTTGGTGTTCTAAAAGAATCCTAAAGGCCAATCGAATGTGACTTTCTGTTGCAGTTATGAATCGGTGAGTGTGTTGGCAAAGTCACGGACCATTCGTACCAAACCTGCTCACCAAATGTATATACAACTTCATAATGTCTCAATGTTGTTGGAGTTGATTCAATATTTTGCTCTCTTTTTTACTATTTACCTTTGTTGAATCGCTACATCTCCAGAAATGTGCTTCTATTGGAGACTTGGAGTGAACTTCAACAGGCTTCCTCAATGGGAAAAAGATCGGAAAGCTGCAAAATAGCAAACATGGAAAATTTAGAGTCAAATGTCTGTCTTCAAACTTTGAATGTCACAAGAGCAAAAGAGTTTCAAACGCTAATAATATTAGTGTTACCAGCCGATCATGTTTGGTGTTGCTGTTGTAGGCTCAATGCTAAGATGCACATCATCATAGATGACAGCTTTAAAGTAGCCAGCAAATCCTAGTCACACAAGTCAATCAGATTTTGTTTCGTGTTAGAGAAAGCGAGTGAGAAATGTTACCCAAATAAAAACCATACCATGAACCAAAGCAGAACCCATGTCACTTGGTAGATTGAAACGCAGCTTCTTATAACATTGGTTATTCGGTTTTCTTGACAAGTTTGGATGCGTAAATGTGAACACCTATTAACAACAATAACAAAGTACCTGAGCATCTAAAACGAAGCAAAATGTAATGACCATTTCAGCAATAGAAGCAGTCTTTTGGATTTGTTTGCTCATCACAACACTTTTAGCTAACATACGCAGTCTTTTGGATTCCTGAGCATCTAAAACACTTTAAAGCTTACACAAGCAACAAAAGACTCACAGGTTGAGAAGGAGCAAGTCTGGTTACACTGTGCAGTTTAACAGAATAAGTATTTGGAAACTGGGAAAGATCATTACGAGCCTTAACCTGCAAGATAGATGACAAAACGCAAGTTAATATGAAGTTTATAGCGGCATAATCAAAAGCAAAAATCAGAAGAAAACCCACATCATTGTAAAGTTTTGAAGTTGTAATTGGCTGTATAAAACTTGTATACCTGAAAGAAAACAGAAGAATAGATCTAATGTTATCCTCTCTCAAATATTTCAGTAGTACTAGACACTCGTCTTAGTGTGACTTCACAGAGAATATACATACGAGAGTGGTATCGAGATCCCGTCTGGCTTCAGAAATCTTTGGGCTCCAAGGCACTCAGGAGAGAGTTCATTATCCCCAAAAGAACCCAGCAATTCACTAAACTATAGAGAAAGGTGTCAAATACGAATGATTCGAGTGTTGAGAGTATACCAGAACCTGTAATTACTGACCAAAATATCAGCTCTATCAGGAGCACTCCAGAAACGCATGTCACAAGATATTACGGTAGCAGTGTCTTCCCATCCTCTTGTTTTTACCAAATCCTATCAGAAAGGATAGCACCACCATAAGAACTCACCTGGAAAAGGAAAGTAAAATGTACAGTTGAATTTGAAGGTCTCCTTATGATCAGCCTGGTATTGCATCAGAACTCACCTGCAATGATGCTCTCACAAGAGATCCTCTTCCTGCTCCCACAACCAACAGGATTTACAATCCACAATTTAATACTATAAGATTATTTCATCTCTGAAATGCTCCATTGTGAGTGATAAACCGAAAACAGTAACAGTTGGCTTACAGTAGTTAACTCGGACGCTTTCTCATTAGGGACCCTGTCTTTTAAGGCTTTAGCAATTGCCCTTTGATACTAACAAAACAAGGATTTTTAAAAGTTAAGACACTGATGAATAACGGTATGATATTAGATTGTACAACATTGCAGATTCAGTTGATCACGGCAGAAAAAGGGGGACAAATTTATATACAAGAGACGTGATAAGATTAGAGATTTTGGAATGAAAACTAGCACAAGGTAGCATATACTTGGATGTATTTAATAGAGTCTCTTTCAATCATCTCATAGGAAGTGGCTTCTAAATTATCCTTCAGTGGCTGCATTTAAAAAACAGACAGAAAATTATATATACAAAACAGCGGGAGACTAGTTACCAATACCAATTATAAGGAAGAGCTAACCTGCAAGGGTGTTTGCAATATATCTCTGCGGCCAACTTCTATACGTTCTTGTTCAGAAAGTGGCTCCATATTGTGGAACAGATTACTAACATAGTCCAAATACGGCTTATGGGGGTGCGTCTGCATACCTGAGAGCCCAAATGAATAACAAAGGATAACAGCTGACCAACAGCACCCACAAGGAATAGAGAAATTTTACCCTCCATCGGTAATATTAACAGAATCCTCTTGAAGATTATTCATAGGTTTTCCTGAAATTATAACCTGAGATTTTGAAGATTGTTCAGGTAAGCAAGATTGATGATTATGAATTTTAGGAAAAGTGAAATGAAAACCTGTTTCTGAAAGCTCTCGAGATACTAGATGAAACCAAAAGAGCAAAAAAGAAAAAATCCTATGAGGGAAACAAAATCTTAAATCTGGAAGAGTCAAACTCTTGGCACAACATCACATATAAATATATTACCTGAACAGCATGATGAAAAAACCTCTTGGTAACTGTTTATCCGATGATTCGGTTGGTACGAAACACTGGCAATGGAATGAAAAGCATCAGAAGATTGACTACTGTAGTTCAGTGCCTAACGATGCGGAAATATGACCACTGAAAAGTGAAAACCCGTAAAGGAGAGATGTGTAGCCCAGGCTATTTCTTGCTTCAATGTGGTTTCTGAATCCATCCTCAGGATCTCATCTTCAGAATCTAAATCAATCCACGAACTAAGTTTACCTAATTAGATGAAATCAAAACCACCCGATTAGTGGTTTTTCAGATTGATCAGGCACATTAGATTTTTCAGACCCAAACTTGCATTGCACGTATTACAACAAATCTGAAAGTCTTATATCAAACCAATACCAATATTCATTCTCTCATGCATCAATATTGAGATCAAAACGCCTCTGAATTATCATCGTTGCGTCTGTTTTCGACTCCATCCAAGTGATCGTCACGGACATTGTCAGCAAGCATGAGAGAAACCAACCAGAAAAGACACGAGTCTAGCGACAAAAACGCCCCACCACCGAGCAGACCGGACTTAGCCGTTGGACAATCGGTTTCGAGGTTACGATAAACGTTACGGGTCAAATAGAGTTGCTCCGTAATGGTTGTCCATAGAAGCAATGACAATGCAAGTCCAGATGTTACCCTGATTTTTTTTTTATTGTTGGAGAAATCCAAGATCAGATATTTTACTCATATAATTTGATGAATCTAAAAACAAGATTTATTAGAAAAAGAATATTACTTACAAGGCAATGTTGAAGAAAACAGAGAAACTTGTGCTTTTGAACAAGACAGATTTGGGAACTGACTTTCCTTTGTAAGAAAAGAACAAGGAGTTGTATCCTGCTGCAGTACATAACAATAGAAATGCTACTGATAAGTAACCCAAAGCAACACTTGGATCACTTGGGTATTTGCAGATAGTTACTCCCTTTCCATTTATTGGTGTTCCAGTTGTAGGCTAAGATAATAAAATGTAATACAAGTCACACAAACTTGATAACATGTTGTAAGAAGAAAGCTAAAGACTTAAATTTTATGTGGAAAGAGTTAGATTTTGTTAGGAATCCCAACATTGAGAGTAAGATGGGATCTTCACTAATATATGAGAGATACAGACTCTTCTACTCATTTTCAATTAGATTTGGGTTACACATTTAGGAGTCCATAAAACTTAACATAATGGGGCTGTTCGTTTGTGTAGTTG